ATGAAATTATTGTGAAGGAGATTATTAAACCAAGTAGATAGGTTCAAATACATGAAATTAAATTTTAGAATTCAAGAGACTAAGACTAAATTCTTAAATATATATATATATATATAAATATAAAATAAAATAAAATAAATACTTAGGTGTTAGAGTATGAGTGAAAATTGTGTTAATAATATTATTGACACATTGGGATATGATCAATTGTAGATTAATTTTCTTTTGACACCATTCAAGCTTTAGAAGTGTTGTAACTTGAGGGGTAACCTTTAACCTCTCAAAGGTTGAGGTAATCGGGGGAAATCTATTTTATGCATTTGTATGTTACTTAATTAATTATGTTGGTGAAATAAAAGAATATATATATATATATGTCTAAATTTTGAAATGATTGTTTGTAATGCATGTGGCTTTGTTGAGACTCTATGACTAGTGACCAAGTTAATTATGACTTGGTGTGAGTAATGAGATTGATGGTTAATAATTATGTGTACACTCTTGGTTATAAGTTGTAGATTATGCACAGTGATGAATTGTATGAGCTTGTTGAGTTTTATATGATACTAATGTGGTTTTGTATGATAATTTAAAAAATTGATGCAAGAGGCATGATTGAAATATGATGATTCTTGATGTTTGTTGAGTAAGAAAGTTGATGAGCATGTGGGATAATTTTGAATCATATATATGAGTTTTTGAAATGCATTTTCTCATGAGTATGATCATATGGCGGGAGTTCGCTTTAGTGAAGGAATTAACGGTTATGCAAAATCCATATGGTACTTGGCTATTAACTAATAATCCTAGGGGTTATAACCGCTACTTACTTTGTAAGGTATTGTAGCATCGTTTCTATTAAGGGACTTGACCCTACTGACCTACCTGGAGTTATGGGTAGAGTTAGTTTTAGGTATGACACCCCATAGTGTGTGATTTGAGGGAAACCGTGTTTATAAGTAAGTAAGGTAATCCTGGCTTGGTAGCCCCTTATGATATGATTAAGGCCTTGAGTAGTCTCACCATATGGACGATCCCTTTTGGTTGTTGGCCCACGGATTTCATGTCAGAGAAAATAAGGGGGGATATAAGGAAGAGATTGATCATGCATATTATTACTATCATGCCATTTGAGTGATTGATGGCTATGTTGAGAATATGATTATAATTGTAGAAATGAGAACATGCAGTAATTATGCGAATAATGTATATGTGGCTATTTGTACAAATTTTATACTTGACTTTATTCTTGAAATTATTCACATGAGTTAAATGTTAATGTGATTAACATGTTATTACTGTGATTATTTGAATGATCACCTTGATAAATTTATTGGCCACTTGCATTCATGATTAATTATCATGCATTTGTATAATTTAGATATACCTTGGTTACTGAGTGGTTGTACTCACTCCTCTCTTTTAACATATTACAGGAGCTAGCTCATCTTAGAAAAATAGAGGAAAGGAGCATTAGGCCAAGTGATAATAATCACTTCTGTAGGCCTCTCTCCTTTTATTTGATATGTGTATTTAGTTTATGATATTGCCAACTAGGATAATATATTCTTGATCCACTTGTATTATGGGTTTTGCGTTGGGGAAAAGATATTTTGGGCCCTTGAGAATGTGTTTTGATGTTTGTGTTATATTAATGGGCCAAAATTATTTGTGCAAGTAAAAATAGTTATTATCATGCTTCCACATATGTTTAATTAAATGATATGAGTTTTTAAAATATTTTAACGACTTGGGATCCCTTTATATTAAATAGTTTTAAAAAAAATACATATTAAGAATTCATTTGGGTTAATCTTGTATTGGATAATCTACTTGGGTTAGTCCTTGATTAATTATGGTTAGTATGATGATTAAATCCTAATTTAGGACGCCCTTTACATATATCATGTTGAATAGAATTAGAGGAGATAAAGGAAATTGACTGAAAAAATAAAGTTGATAAAAACCCAATATATGAACGCATAGTCTTACCTAATATTACACAAAAGCATACATGAACAGTGAAGATAATAATTAAAAATATAAAAAAACTATGAAATGATGAAATAACTATTATTTTACAATTTTCATATCATATATAAATATATTAAATAATAAAAAAGCAAACCTTCGTAAAAAAAACAATTCATCTTTTATAAATACACAAACACAATAATTGTAGAAAAATAAAAAAAATCAAAAATTCTAAATTTTTATTGATATTTATTAAATTATATTAAATTAATTTTAGATTAAATTAAAATTTATATTAACTTAAATATCCAATTGGAAAAAAGGCCAATTGGATACGTACCCTACTCTTGAGAATTGGTTTTTCAAAGCATAACTCAAGGTTTAAAGAGACAAAGAAGTTGCAGGTAGTTGAAGTTGTTGTCATCCTTGTCTTCGCCTACGAGATGTAAGGATTTTGGAAGCAATTGATGCTCCTACGTTCAGGCTACAGGCTTAAAAAGGATTTCAAGGTTGGCCCCTCCACGACGAATGACACACTTGGAATGTGATAACATTCTTGGAGAGTACTTGACTTTTGCCCTCTTCAGTGGCGGAGGAAGGGGAAATCAGTAGGGGCATGGTTTCCCTAATTTTTTAAAGTCTTCTTTATGTTATATAAGTATTATATATTTTTGACCCTCTTAAAATTTATGAAAACTTTATAGTATATATGTTTTTTAATTTTGACCCCTTTTATTTTTAAATCCTGACTCCGCCCCTTTTATAGCCTCATTGATTTGATCGAAGGAGCTCTGAAACAAGCTAAAAATGTGGGAAAGCGAGTTTGGTTCTGCTAAAACTAGGAGTTTCATACAGATAAAGATGGTAGCCGATACGCAGAGACGAATGAGTGTGGTGGAGAGAACTCGGGAAGGAAAGGAGAAGGTCATCTTCCAAGCGTTTGGAGCTAATGATTTTTTTATTTTGAGAAATACTAGTGTGAATGGGGATGTTTTGAAAATTGAGAAATGCAGGTTGCTTGGGCTTTTTATTCTAATACTGTCCTGAGAAATTCATTTAATAATTTAATATTTGGCAGTGAATAGTTTGCTAGGAAAAGAACAAGATTACTAAATTAATTTTTTGGGATACAGATTGCTTAATTATTAATTTACAGTGAATTAAAACTCTAGTTTGATGAATATGATCAGACTAGATATTTGAAAAATTTTATACAATTAAAGCTAGAGGTTTGAAAAATTTTATACAATTAAAGCCTAATATATTCTAACAAGTATGTTTGATATTGATAAGGAAGACTCGACTGTCATCGTTTTCATTGTCTGACAAACTTAATTTTTTATGTAAATTATATATTTATTTAACAAGTGACAATAGATAATTAACAAGTATTGTTGAGAAATTAATAAGTAACGTTATGTAATTAACAAATATTGTTGCATTATTAACAAGTAAAAGTATATGATTAACAAGTATTGAAGGTTAGTTGAAGGAATCATGTATTTGACAAGTAAATTTAAGTAATTAATAAGTCATATTAAGGTATTAACAATGACATTTACACGATTAAAAAGTAATGTAACTCTGTTGTGGGAGTCACAGACTTAACAAGGAGAGTTAAGTAATTAACAAGTCCTATTAAGATATTAACAAGTATAGTTACACGATTAATAAGTAATTTATTTTTGTTGCAAGAGTCATGGGGTTAATAAGAAAAATTAAGTAATTAACAAGTCCTTTTAAGGTATTAACAAGTAAAGTTACACAATTAACAAATAATATAATAATCAAATAGTTTGAAAACAAGGTTTATTATATATACAATTTTATGCATTATATGATTGAATGAATTGAGTGGCTTAGTGGTTTAAAATATTTTGGTAAACCAAGGGTCTTGGGTTATACACCCACCTTGGTCACCTTTAGAGAAATTAATTCTTCATAATTTTCCAACCACCACCGACAGTGGTCTAGTTGACGGCTAGAGCTCCGATGACAGTGGTCCAACATGAGGTCGAAGCTCCAATGACGAAGGTCTAGTGGCTGCCCTTGCCGGTGAAGCTTCGATAACCGGTGACGATAGTTAGTGGTTGTCTTTTTTATATATATTTGATCTGAAAATATTTTGATCTTTTTTACTTTTAATTTATTTTCAGTTTAGTCTTATAGAATTGAACTGATATTTTAAAATTTTTTAAGAGTCACTTAAAAATAAGTTAGCACTGAACTAATATTTTAAAATTCTTTGAGAGCCACTTAAAAATAAATTACTTCTGCTATCCTTAAATAAAATTCTTTCAATTTTCTACTGACATGTCTACGTTGGAACTTGAAAGATCTTAATCAAGCTACAAGATTTGTTCACCTTTTTCATCCATGGCAATGTGTCGGGCGCGTCCTAGAAGAAGCCGAACGTGAATTACTATGGCATTTTTTCACTCAATTTCACTCCAATTAAGCCCAATGGGTCGTGCAATGTACGCAAATACTAAAACAAGTAATATATCACCCAAAACTCAATCAAATCGAAGTTCACATTAAGTGGGTGTGAGGGAATAGGCTTTTATAACGCCATGAGCCCAAATTTAAATATCTATTGATAGAAGTGTCTATATTTTACGCTCAACAATATTTCAAACATAATTGTATTCAATAAAAAAATATCTGTAAATAATTAAAAAAAATCCCAAGCCAGGCGTAACTTTTGTATATGTATAAATTGAACATATGCCAACATTCAATCGAAAGACATATTTCACATTAGAAATTGCGTTGAAATGTCAGAAGACTTTTGACAGGCTTAAATATAAAGAATGGCATAAGTTAAAGTGATGACAACATAACAGAGCATGCGAATCGTTTGAGCATTAGATAGAAAGATGGAGTACATTAATCAATAGGCGGAATGGCCGACAAAAACGAGGGGGCCATCCACTCAAAGAGGCTTGTTTAAAGCCATCAAAAATGAAAAATAAGATTCTGTTCTCCCACATTGAACCAGCATCATTGACATGATTTAAAAAAGAAAAAAGAAAAAACATTGGCACTTGTCAACGTTTACACACAAATTATAGTTACATTGCTAAAAACATAGCAATATCTGTTCAACATGAAACCGATAGAGCACAGAACAAACATATATAACCTTTGAATGTTCTGGGAACACTGTGATCAATTTTTTCGCCTTAATAAAAGGATTCAATTTATTGCAATAAAAGGATCGTACATAGTCCACCCAAACTTAAAAAGACCCTCTCCGCTTGGGTCTTTTCTTAAACGAGAGAGAGAAAAAGCTTACTGATATCATCAGATAACAAGCATTTCCCAACAATGATAGATAAACAATTCCTACCAGTGTCAAATTGCAAAAAAGCAGCAGCCTGCCAGATGATGCTTCTGAATTCCCCAAGAATATTGGCAAACCGTTTATTACTACCCCTGTCAAACCATGATCAATATAGATATATCTACACACACACTCTGCTGATTAGTATTTAGAGGCAGCCAAAGCATATCAGTGCTGGGGTTTTGGCTTCTTCACAATCATCACAGTGCAGTGAGCGTGATGAGCACAATAGTCACTCACGCTCCCTAAGACCGCCCTGCAAATACACAGCATCAAATAAATTGATACTTTTAATTTCAAGAGGAGTTAAAAACCTTTTCTATATAGTATCTAGTATTTACCTCTTTATAGCTCCATAACCATGACTTCCCACAACCAATATAGAAACATGGTGCTTGTCCACTGCATCGCAAAGCACATTTCTGGCGTCCCCTTCTATTACTTCCACCTCCACATCATTTACCTGATGATACATTCAGGTAATTTTCCCCAGGATAAATATATAGTATTTCAATCCTCAAGCATTAGACTTTTTGTTTTCCCTATTTTGGCCCAAAATACACCGTTACATCACACTAAAACGGTAGATAGATCCAAAAAGTTGGGAGGGGAAATACAACTACGGACACAACATAACAAACTACAACACCACATCAACATCAGCTAAGGGAAAAAACATTAATCAGATTTTTTATGATGAGTCTTTTTTTTTTTTTTGTGGTTGATAAAATGATTATGAGTCTTTTAAAAGTGAGGCCCAAAAAAATGGATAAAATCATATAAACAAAATTAACAGTAAAATGCTATGATCTAATTAATTTTTCCTACAGCTATGAATGGACGTTTCTGAATTTATAATGCAAATTTTCTCGAACAAAAATTTTTAAGTTATAATCTCTGATCTAATTCACCTCTACTAAAATTCATGCAGAGTACTGTTTTTTTTTTTTTTTTTTTCCTTTTCAGAGCACACTCTGGGTGCCCTGCAGGCATTGACAGTTCCAAAAGGAAAACAAGAACCGGTCTTCTTTTCTTTTAATATTCCATGTCCCTACAACTTCTAAAATATATATCCATTAAAAGAATCTCACAACTTCAGACTCTTGTAATATTGAGGCAGAACCTATCATCAAATTATAATCAGAAAATCAGTTAATCCAGAGACTTTTTTTCCTTTCAGTTTCATTTCTCCCTTGTACGATAAATCTCAGCAAATACCTCCCAAGAATCGCTTCAGTTCATAGGAAGATTGAAGTTGCTGAAAGAACAAATCAAATCGCAAAAGGAGGAGGCGAAACTGAATGATGGCAATAGAAGGCTAAATGACCAATTATCCAGTAGTAAAAGTGATAACTAATTACCGATTTCTTGATACAAAGCTCTCTGGCCTTTTCAACAACTCTTGCAGCTGTTCGTTTCAAATCCGCCTCAACAATGGGCAAAACGTTATTAGCTCCTGTGAACAATTAATGCATTCACACATCGTTTCCGACAAATTTCAGAAATAAAGAAAAAGTAGAATCGAGGAAAAAATGGAGCACCAGGGCCGGCTAGGCCGACAGCGGAGATAGCAGAAGGTCTGGCGTGAACAAGAATGAGCTTGAAGAGAGGATTAGGGGTGGGCGTGAAGAAGTGATCGAGAGTCCACTTGAGAGCATAGGCGCTATGCTCACTCTCGTCGATAGCCACCATCATAACTTGCTTTTCCGACGTTGTCGCCATGGAAGCTCAGATTTCGGTCACCGGATCGATGGCTCGCACCTATCTATCAATTCCTATTGGCTTGGTTGGAACGCTACCACAGTACAGTGCGGCTCATGCTAAATTGACGCCATATTTATAGTCAAAGCATAGCCCAGCAAGAACAGCTTCAAAATTAGGAGCAGCTGGAACGACGTCGCATCCTTCTAATGTCCACATGCAGGGCTTGGACCAACGGGTACAGAGTATAGTGGCATGCAAGGATTAGAACGCCAGGCTGTTTAATTGTTGTTATCGTTGTAACTGGTAAGCACATCATGTTGTTGATGTGTTTCGACGTTTTTATCAAGTCAATTTTTACCTGTGATAAAAAATATATAAAACATTTTTAATTTAATTTTACTTTTAATAAAATATTTAGTTATTTTTTAAAATTAATATTATTTTTTATATTTATTTTTATTTAATAGGGTATTTTATTTTAACATAAATATAAAATATTTTATTTATTATGGGCACTTAAAAAAACACATTAATATCATCTTAAAATGCTAAAGGTACTTTATATTTTTTAATATTTAATTTCTTAAAAAACGTTTTACATAAGTATTCTTTAAAGTATAAAAATGCCTTAATAATGGAGGAAATATTAGTCTAATCCATAATATAAAGTACTTTTTTAATATTATATTTAAAAATATAAAGTATTTTTAACGTGTATTTAATAAATTTTTTTTACAAAATTCTTTTAAATTAAAGGGTTTAATTAATAAAAATTTTTAATTGAGAAGCCCAATTAAATAAAAATAAATAAAAAAAATGATGTAATTTTAAATCAAGTATATTATTCCTAGGTTTGGTACTTCGCTGTAATATTTTCATATTACTCCAAACTTGACTTATCTTTATTCTTTTTAAAAATATAAAATATTTTTAATTAAATTATATTTTTATAATAAGCTAGTTAATTATTTTTTATTTAATACTATATCTTTTTATATGTATCTTTATTCAAGCAAGGGTCTCACTCAGATGTGATTGGGTGACTTATTTTTTTAGTGATGATATTTTAAAAAAGTTATTTATTTCACATATAAAAATTAAATTTCTTTTATATTCTTGAATATATAATCTCAGAAAAAATAAGATATTATTTTGAAAAAAACTAAAGGAATATAAGCTATTTGGTTGGAGATGGGAATCAGAGAAGAGAAAAAAGAATTAATAAATTGGTTTTACAAAATAGGACATGGGATGACAAAGTTGTAATAGAGAGATGATGTTAAATTGAAGTATCATTAGAAGAAACAAGAGGAAAAATTCATTAAAACATTTCTAGACTTTGTAAATCAAGATGATTAATTAAAATTTTATAGGACAAGTTGATATGCTCTTTCATTTATATATATATATATATATATATAAAATATAGTATCATACTATTTAAGCAAAATTGATTCACTGTAATAATTATATTTGAAAATAAGAAAATTGAACTAAAATATCATAGATTAATTAACATAAATAAAAATTAATTATTTTTTATAATTACAAAGAGTAATTTAGAAAATATGCAATAAATATTTATTAAAAAATATGATTTTACTAAAAAAATAAGTAAAAAGTAATAATTTCTTTTATAAATAAAAACAGAAAGAGTATTCATTAGGAGTGATATATGTTCCTTTTGAAGACATCCAATAAAAATTGAATTTTTTTTTTGCCAACCAATAAAATTGAAACGAAGTATAAAAGATATGAGAAATTTTTCGATATAATATGATATTGAAATTACTTTTCCATAAAATATGATATTGAACTAAAATATCATAGATTAATTAACATAAATAAAAATTAATTATTTTTTATAATTATAAAGAGTAATTTAAAAAATATGTAATAAATATTTATTAAAAAACTGTGATTTTACTTAAAAAATAAGTAAAAAATAATAATTTCTTTTATAAATAAAAACAGAAAGAGTATTCATTAGGAGTGATATATGATCCTTTTGAAGACATCCAATAAAAATTGAATTTTTTTTTTTGCCAACCAATAAAATTGAAACGAAGTATAAAAGATATGAGAAATTTTTCGATAAAATATGATATTGAAAATTAATGTATTTAATGGTGACGTTCGAGAGACATCAGTCGCAGCGTGGCTTGAGATTTCCTCACGCGCTATCATTCCTGTGGGCTGGGTTGGAAGTTGGAACGCTTCTACTATGTCAGTATCGTCAATTCAGTGGCGCTGCTAGGAAAGCAAGCCTGGGTTTGAATTACTTCCTCCATTTACATATCTATATATATATATATATATATAAATTGTATTCCACAATTTAAAAAAAATTAATAAATTATAATAATTATGTTTAAAAATAAAAAATAAATTAAAATATTTTGTGTTAATCAATATAAGCATATATTAATTATTTTTTATTAATATAAATTATAAAAGTTGATTTAAGAAATGTATAATAAATGGTTATTGAAATAGGTAATTTTATTTATATAAAAAATAAATAAAAAGTAATAATTTTTTTTATAAATAAAAATCAAGGACGTAGATCAATGTCACTGAAACGATGTCGTCAGACCTCTAACGTTCATCTTGCGGCTTATGTACACTTTCATTAATTTTATTTTAATTTTATTTATAAATTATTTTTAATATATTTTATTAAAATAAAAAATAAAAAATTTATTAAATTCTCTAAAATTTTAATAAATTTTTAAATTTATTTTTATTAAACATATCTTTATCTGAATTGCAATATAAAATATTGGTAATTGTTTTATGGTTTTTGAGAAAAGATATAGGCAAAACCTTAATTTCTTAAAATATTTCACATTTTTTTATTTTATCCTCATCATATATATGTGTTTAATAATGACAATTGAAATTTTAATATATAAATTATTTTTTTTAAAACAGAGTACATTTATATGGGAGTAACCTGATAAAAAGTTGGGAAAATGATAAAAAATTTTAAATTATATAAATGACATTTTAGTCCCTCAAAATGTTATAATGCTCTTGAAATCTCTAGAAATTTTTTTATCATTAAAGAATTAATATAAATGATCAAATTATCCTTAATTCAAATGTTAATTGTCATTCACAAGTTTTGTCCTAATGTTCACAACTTTTTTTTTAAATTATAAGAATTCAACGGCAATTTACAAGTTTGAATTAAAGGGAATTTGATCATTTATATTAATTTTTTAATGATAAAAAGTTCTTAAAAGTTTTAAAAAAATTATAACATTTCAATGATCAAAATGTCATTCATATAATTCAAAGGAATTTTATTATTATTTGTCCCAACAGGTTAGTAACACACTTTTTATTATTAAAATAAAAAACTCTTCGTTTGTTAGAAGTGGAACAAGAAGCATTTGCTACTTGTTACTTGGATGTTATAACCAACCTTTCAAAACAGCTGTTCAAGGATTTGGATTGATTGGTTCCATCCAGCGTCGTCAATGCTTAAGAATGCCAAGTGCTTATTTTCATGTTTTGTTTTTGTCTTTCTTTATCTGTAAGAAACTAATAATTTCATAGTATGATATGGGAGATAAACTGTAATATATTGTAATTTTTTATTGTAATGTTGTCATCCAATGAATAAAGTCAATCATTGGTGGATGTCAATGATTGACATATTCTTAATTTATTTATTTTTTAATTATTCGATGTGAGATGTCTTAATTATTAATTAGGAGCTGCAGAATGATTAAAATTTAATTATAAAATTTAGTGTGTATTTGATTTCACGTTTAAGACTATCAAAACTTTGATGAAAGTGAGCGATTACTTGATTTAATATAAGTCAAAGCACAATTACTTGATGGAAGTTCAAGTTATAAATAAGTCCTCATTTTACATAAATTTTTCTTATAAGAATAAGACTTATATATTTAGCCTTGTATATTTAATATATTTTTATTCAATCAAATCAAAACAAATGAATTTAATGTGTTGATAATATTGATAATAAAAATTTATTATAAAATAAATAATATATAAATGATACTTATATATTAATTTAAATAAAAACAAACACCTTAAGCATATAAAGCTAAATATATATGTTTTTTCCTTTTTATAATATATTCTTCAACTGTCATTTTCCCATGTATTCTTATATTGGCTCAATTAATGCAAAGGGTGTTTTCAATAATTCCTCCAGATTACTTATTAGCTTGTTGATACTGTATATATTCCCTCTATTTAAAAATAAAGATATTTTTAATTAAATCTCATCCTCCAATAATATAGTTATTTATTTTAAAACTAACTTTATATTTTTATATTTATCTCTATTAAAATCCTATAATAAATATAAAGTGATTATTAATATGGGTACTTTTGAAAAAAAAATAATAATTACACCTTGAAAAATTAAAATGTCTTATATTTTTGAATATTTAACTCTTCAAAAAATATTTTATATTTTTGAATGGAGGGAGTAATTATTTACAGTGCACAATTTTCATGTATATTATAAATAAAAACATATGGCTACATACATGTCAGGTACATTGCTTTTAAAATTTTCATTGATTAATTCAGTTTGATTATTCATTTGATTTGGAGAAAAGTTATACAACTTTGGTAATATTATCTACTATATGAGATTAGGTTTTTAAAGACAAGGAGGTCTTAAGGAAGAAGCAATTGATTCTCTCAGAACACTTGCGTGCATGATTAAAATTAAAGTCGCAATACACATAAGGCTCTAATTTATTATATCACTTTTTGTTATCTGTTAGATTATTGTCTAGGCATAAGAGAACTTGATAAAGTTAAACTTTATAACCAATTAATATATAATAAAATGAAATTATCCAAAAATTTCAGCTTTGGCATTTTAAATTAGGGTCAAAATAATAATTTGATATCCAAACTATAGATTTATTAAAAGTTTCTGGAACTAGTCTAATTTTTTTTTGTGTGTAGTATTTCCTCTCACCTTTTAAAAACAATACAATGTTATTCATACTGTTAATAAAAATTAAATTTAATTGTTAGTTAACCATAAAATGATATAAATGACCTAGTAAATTTTCTTGATCCTTTTTCTTAATTTTTTTTAGCCTTTTTCTAT